TTTTTTTTTTTTTTTTTTTTTTTTTTTTGTATAGAAACAGATCCATTTCTTGGTAATCAAATCGCATTTGTTTGGTCTTCCTCCAACCCTTCGCATTTGATTTCTAAACATTCCTTCATATGCCTTTAATGAAAGCCAGCAATTATCCCATGGGCCCTACTTGAATTTCTCTGAGGCAGCTACAGATTGCCCTGCAAGATGAGTTTTTGGAGATAAATGAAATAACTGGACACACACTCACACAAGTAACACCACAGCAAACCTCAGAGTACTGCTGAGTGTACCTGTGTCAAATCCACACAGGACTCAATATAGCAATTTATTCTTGATGTATGCAATTGCACATTGTAATTATATTAACAGAGCACACTAATAATTTGTATAAATTATATATATTAGATCTTGGGTATGGTTTTTACCTTCTCCCATGGGGAACTTCTTCCTTCCTGATGTGGAATTGTACATTTAAAGCTTGGTCGGTGACCTTTGCATACTGTCAACGAGCACAGTTAAGAACAGAGTGAGAGAGGCCTGCGGCTGATTTTACCATGTGCCCAGATTAATGTATATAGTTGATTGGAATGAGGTTTTATGAATATTCATGTTTTTGAAGGCCTTTAATTTCTGTCTGCATATTAGCTTTTAATGTGTGATTTTAAGAGAGAATACTTTGACACCTGTAAAAATCAAAATACTACTCTTTATAAGACATTTCACAAATATTCACTTACATTACAGGCTGGAAGTATTTTATTCATATGTATATTTATACCAATAAAATGATTTTACAAGTGGAATTGGGGCCTTCTCCAGTTACATTTTTAGTTTGGACTGGCTCAGGGTGGTGAACTTTGGTTTTGTTTCCAAAATCCAAAATAATCAATGTTCTCAGATAAGCAATCTGGGAACCATTACCTTCAAAATAAAGATCACTTACCAGTGCCACTGCCTGTTTTCACCCTTGGGAAAAATGATAGAATTTACCAGAAGAATATAGAATTATGAGTTTGATCCAGCTCCCATTACCATGCATAAGGGTCATACGAGGGATGCAAGTGTGAGCGAAGAAGTGTGATTTGAAGAGTTGCAAGCAGTGGTTATCTATTGGAAAGAAGAATGATAGAAGGTGGGGTTGGCATGACATGGCTATTTCCCTCATCATCCTCCACTAGCCCTTTCCTCAACTCAGGTGCCTGGCATATGAGTAAGTGCCCATAATGTAGACCAGATGGTTTGCTGCCTTTGCGTGACTTCATGAGGGCAGAAAGACACAAGATTGCTTCCTCCAGCTGTAGCTCTGCTGTCATAAAACAGAAAGTGCTCACAGAGCAATCAGGTTCACATTCATTTAGAATGCTATGTGGTAAAAGGCACACATGCTGCTGGTTAGCACTTCTCTCTGGGTTTCAGCATGAGAACTATTCTCAAAGAGACAGTCGAGAGAAGCCCAGGTAGTGAATAGCCTTGGTGCTTTATTATGGAGTTGGATCCTGATTCTATGCAGTAGGAGCCATTGCATTTTTTAAAGCAATAATGCAATCAGAGCTAAGATTATAGAGGTAAACCCTATAGACTAGAGGTAGGCATCCAGTGAAGTGGCTGAGCAAGGATTCTTAATCATTTTCCCTCTCCTTATGGTGGTCAAGAGGTGCCCACTCAGATGCTCCTTTAAGAGAACTTGGCTATGGGGAGCACGTGGGGGCCGACCATGGCTACCAGCTTCCAGCTGCAACACCTTCAGACCCTCTACAGTGGTCATGCTGCGGCTAGGCCACCCCCATTCTCCCTGCCAACCTCCGAGGATGGTTGGTTCGCTAGAGCTGCCCAACACAGGACTCTACTGAGCAACTTTTGCTCTAGGGCCCTCCTCTGGTCTGGCCAAGGCTTTCTCAGAGCTGCACCAAAGCTCACCCTACCTACATCTCCTTTCCTCCTTCCCAATCTTCTTTTACAGGTGATCAACCTGAATAAGGTCTGAAGGCACTCCCTGCTACTGCTCCCTCCACTTTTATCCTTCACAGCGATTTCCCCCAGTAAATAAATATTCTGCGGTCTAATCCCATCTGGGCACATGCTTCTTGGAGAACCTGAACTGACATACTTCTCCATATTCTGTCACTGTAGATCAAGAATACCTGCACTTTGGGAGGCCAAGGTGGATGGATGAACTTTGAGATAGGGAGTTTGAGACCAGCCTGGCCAACATGATGAAACCCCATCTCTACTAAAAATACAAAAATTAGCCGGGCTTGGTGGTGGGTGCCTGTAATCCCAGCTACTCGGGAGCCTGAGGAAGGAGACTCGTTTGAACCTGGGAGGCGGAGGTTGCAGTGAGCTGAGATCACACCACTGCATGCCAGCCTGGGTGACAAAGACTCCGTCTTAAAAAAAAACTACACACATGGAAAGTCAGCTTTACCATGTACATCTGCTGTGCTGGTGACTAGCAGATCTTTCCTCAAAATGTGTGGGCCTTTGTGTTTGTTTTGTGAATATATTATAATTTGTGCTATGTCCCTGAAAGAAAGGTGCCCTTAAGGCAGAGTGGACTAACTGACTTCTCGACGCCCTTTGGGATTTTGACACAACAGATACCACTTTGATTCCCGTTACCCTTGTAGAGTGCCAGTAGAATTGAAGAGAACCATTCTTGCATCCAGGAACCCAGTGAAGCTAAGTGCTGGAGCAGCAGTGGAGCCCATCAGGAACTGCAGGTCCCAGAGAGCCCACTTGGACCAGCCAGATGGCGGTGGGGGGTGCTGGTCATGGAGCAAGGGTTGAAGCCTCCTAGAAAACCCCTAGAATACTAAACCACACATATTCTTTTTTCTGTTTGTGCCATGCACAAGACCTAAATTAAGAATGAGAAGGTTTCCAGCTGCATCCATGTCCCTACAAAGGACATGAACTCATCCTTTTTTATGGCTGCATAGTATTCCATGGTGTATATGTGCCACATTTTCTTAATCTAGTCTGTCATTGATGGACATTTGGGTTGGTTCCAAGTCTTTGCTATTGTGAATAGTGCCGCAATAAACATATGTGTGCATGTGTCATTATAGCAGCATGATTTATAATCCTTTGGGGAACTGAACAATGAGAACACTTGGACACAGGAAGGGGAACATCACACACTGGGGCCTGTTGTGGGGTAGGGGGAGGGGGGAGGGATAGCATTAGGAGATACACCTAATGTAAGTGACGAGTTAATGGGGGCAGCACACCAACATGGCACATGTGTACATATGTAACAAACCTGCACGTTGTGCACACATACCCTAGAACTTAAAGTATAATAAAAAAGAAAAAACAAATTTTTTTAATGCAGACTGTAAAAAAAAAATAAATAGAAACACAAGCACAAAAAAGAATGAGAGATTTCATAATCACCTCTTGGATATACTAAGCAGGGGCCAAATAATCTAGGAACTGTTTGATCACTTATTTTGGGAATGCATTCATTGTGCAGCTTTTGAACAGGCTGACTTTCCAATTTTATTTTTCTTTAACATTGGTCAGTATGGGTCTACTAGCACAGGCCATTGGCCAGCAGTTGATCAGGCATGTGTCAAGTGTTGGAGAGAACTCAATCGCAATTAAAAATTGGCGACTAAAAATCCCAGAAGAGGATAACAGGCACGTGCTTCAATTAGGAAGGGGCAAACAGCTTGCAGTGGGTAAGATCTTCTCATGACTTTGACCCTGCCCTGTGTTGGCTCATTTCCCCAGGTGATCCAGTTCTTTTGTTGACTATTCACTGTAACACTCCATTTGCAAAACAGCATTCCCAGAGAAAACAGCTTTTCAACTGAAGGGAAAACAGAATATAAATATAAATATAAATATACACACACACACACACACACACACACACATATATATATATTTTTTTTTTTTTTTTTTTTTTTTGCAGAGAAGAAATAAATGGATTGCAACAGGAAATCTCAGTAGGCAGGACGGCCCTGATTTTCAGCTGAGACATTACACCTGTTCTCAGTCCCAAGTGTGAAAATCCTAAATTGAGGTGGCCTGGAAAGGATATTTCTGTTTATCACTTTTTACTTGCTAGATTGAAAGCACTGCCCCAGTGTGGCCCTGCAGTAAAAACGATGTGGCCTTTATTCATTCTCAGTCTCTCTTTTACATTTTCCCTCAGAGCAAGAACATGAACCAATGCCTTCAATAGCTGTAGTGATGCTGGCCTTCATTTCTACTCTTTAAAAGGTGCTAAGAAAACAGTAGAGGTTTCCTAGATGCTCACTGTTGTCATTGCCATGTTTAGGGTCCTGCTTTTCCTAAATTATTCCAAATAGAACCCTACCTTCCTAAATTCTTTAGCCCAGAACCCCACCCCTTGGCCAAACTGCTAAAAACCAGAGCAAGGAGGCAAAGTAGGGAACACAAAGAGCAATGGAAGGAGGATAATGTTTCCTCTCCCTCTTTCTTGTGTTTTGATTTTTTGTTTGTCTCTCCTGAGGTTTGATTGAATGAGGCAAAACTAACTAAAAGCCATGCTTTGAGGCAGCCTGGTCTCTCCTCCTCTCTGATAGTATAGGCTGGGCAAACTGTCTGCTCAGTGAGCCACATCGTTTTAACATCTCAGCCTTCTGTGACTCTTGTCTCACACGTCACACGTCACAAAGCTGAGAGTAGGAGAAGTCTCCGTTCACTGAAATGGGCCATAATTTAATCTGCTGATGCTATAATTAAGGTGAGTTAAGAGCTATGCAGTGTTTGCATCACATACAGACATAGGAGAATGGGGGAATTCAGCTTCTGTGCAAATGGTTATCATTGGCCCAAAGCCAAGATGGTCTGCCTGGGTTCTGAAATGTT